GAATATAAGTAGCTGCTCTTTTCTTAGCTAGCTGTAAATGCTTCAATATAAATATATCAATTTATCTATATCTATCTATAAATGTATAGTGTAAAGGTATATACATATAGGGGCAGGATAATAAGTAGATAAAGTGACATTCAGTGGAAATGTGAGTAGTCCTACCTTTGAGGAGCTAGTGCTGGTTACTATAGCAACACACCGTATACCGTCAGCCGTTAGCATTTGGTCTTTAGCGTTTAACCTATCAACAAACTTTATTAGCCTTTAATAAAAGCGAGTCATGGTTAAAAACACTTTTTACATGACTAACTTTTAATAAATCTGGTGAACATTTTGGGGGGAATTTCTCAGAATTGCATTGGTTCGAATGGGAGCAGTCAATATGACGGCCCTGGGGAGTTCTAGTAGTGTCATAATAGTGTCCGAGTGTTATAGCTGGGGTACCTCACATTTTTGTTTCACAAATACACATAGTTTGTCCCAACAGAATCAGAATGAGATTTTTTATATACCCTTTGGAAGTAGAAGGATGTCCCAAACTAACTTTGGCATATGGTGCAAACAAGTTAGATAAAAAGTAATACAAATAGAATTAAAGTCATGAAAAAATTGGTAACACTTTAGATTAGCTCTCACTCATTAAGTGCTCAATCAGGGTACTCTATATCTCTAACCCTAACCCACTCGGGAAAGTATCAGTTAGTAGTTACTCAGAGGTTGAATAAGGCCATGCAGAATAAGGATTAATAAGTGCTTAATAAATACTATCCATCCATCCATCCATTTTCTACCCTTTAATCCATTTCTGGGTCAGGGGGGTGGCAGTCAGAGATGCCACCCAAGTCTCATAGCACCAGCCCCTCACTGACCCTCTGCAGGTGGTGAGTCCACAGGAGGACGGCTGCTCTCTGAGCGGCCTTGATCTTACAGTGGGGGCTTTTTTGGGCAAAGTAGGGTTAAGTGTCTTGATATATATATATATATATATATATATAATATATATATAATAAATACTAATTAACCATAAATTGTACGCTAATTAGCTGTTTATAAGGGAGAGCTACACACTTTGCATTAAATAAAAGTACGGTGAATATAGTTTAGTTTGATACAGAATAGTTTTGAGAGATTTGTCTGTGCCAACGTTTTAGTCAATGACATCAATAATGTTACGAAGAAAAAAAAAAGATTCCATCTCTGTATGTGGAATAAAAAGAAGAAAAATGTGTATAGTTAAGAAGTTTGTAGTAAAGCATTTTTTTTTTTTTTGCCAAGAATTTTTCACTTTCTTAACTTAAATTATGGAGAGAAAAAAGCAATTTGGCCGCTTGAAATAACTGCACTTTAGATATGGCAAAAAAAAGTTTCAATAACCACATTGAGTTGAAATATTCTCAAATAAGAATTTCCAAATGAAAGCATTTTTTGTGTGTACTTTACAAAACAATTGTATCCTTTACTACTTGCTTGTGGTTAATCTTGAAGCCCTACTTGTAACAACATGTAGGATATAGACTGCCTGCCTCTATCTTATATCTGGGGATGAATTAAAGTCATACAGAATGACATGGTGTTCGTCCCAACAGAGAGAGTCTTGTAAAAGTTCATTGTTGTGAATCAGAATCACAATTTCTATTGCCATTGTAAGGAAGTCACGAATAAGGAAATCGCTTTGGTATATGGGGCAAACGAGTCATAAAAAAGTAAAAATAGAAAGGCATGCAAAAACAATCTCAATACAACAAGTGCCAAGAGATATGATGTCATAAAGAGACAGAAGTATAAAGTGATGATTGTAATAGGCCAGGAGTTTTACTGGAGAGGGGATGGACCACAGCCTCCTGCCTGAGGGGAGTGGTTGCAGTCGTCCATGTTTTGGGTAAGACGGGTCAGCAGTGATACAACAAGCGCGTTCGAGGGGCATACAATGGAGGTTCCTACAGCCAATTAGCCAGCAGAGCGTTCCATGCACTTGTTCTTTCTGAAGTCCACAATCATCTCCACTGTCTCCTGGGTGTTCAGCTTCAGGTTGTTACCACTGCACTAGGACTTCTCCTGTAGCAGACACCAGGACACCAGCTGCTCCACCACCTACTGTAGCAGACACCATGAATCCAATGAGGGTGGTGTCGTCCACAAACTTGATCAGCTTCACGGAGTCGTGGCTGGAGGTGCAGTGGTTGGTGTACAGGGAGAAGTGTATTAGAGAAAGAACACAGCCCAGTGGAGCTCCTGTGTTTGTAATCTGAGAGTCGAAGACGTTCTTTCCCAGACACACATACTGCTTCCTTTCTGTCAGGAAGTAAGTGATCCACCTGCAGGTGGAGTATTTTGAGCTGGAAGAGCTTGTCCTGGAGCAGGATGGTGTTGAAGGCAGAGCTGAAGTCCTCAAACAAGATCCTGGTGTAGGTTCCTCTGGAGTCCAGATGCTGCAGGAGGAAGTGGAGGGCCAGGTTTATGACATCGTCTATAGATCCGTTGGCTCTTCCTACTTTATCTGTCATCATGATGACTTCAGCTGTAGTGTGTTCATTGCTATTCCCCTGCTGTCCGTTTCATGGCATGATGATGGGACCCCTGAATCTGGTCTCGTACATCGGCGTCTGTGAACTGTCTCCCTTGGCCTGGACTCATGGGCTGCACCCCCTCCCTGCCTGGTAGCCTCTTCAGTCCTACATTGCACAGCCTCAGTCCTAGGTCCTCTTACTACTTACTACTATTGGCTAGGTTCCTTGCCATTATGGACCTCCCTGAGGTTTCTTAACGTTTTGCCACAATTCGTGTTTTTGGGTTCCTTGCCAATGCTGGAGCGTCTAAGGACAGTGATGATCTTGGACATTTATGGACATTTATAAACATTTCTGGTCAGTGGTCATCCAGCTCCCTATGGACCAATGTGTTGTTATGGCATTTCCGGTGTTACAAGGGTTTGATTCTCTGATCTGTTCTTGGTGAATTGACAAATTTGTAAAGTCCTCAGAAACGACTGCTATTATGATATGAGTGTCACAAGGTGAAACAAAGGACAAAGGAGGACCCGATACAAAAGGGTAAGAGCACAGGTACATATAGACACAGACACAGGTGGGACACATCAGGGCGGAGCAGACAATCAACACAGGGAACAGAACAGGCAGTAAAACTAAAACAAAACCACAATAGAAATACTGTTGATAAAAACAAAATAACAAAATCCACACCATGACATTAGGCCTGCACAAAAAAATGTGTAAATGAATTGTTTGAGAGTGAGTGACATGGATTATATAGTTTTATTGTCTGTGGTTTGAAAATGAGCAGATTTGATGAGGATGAAAGGAGCTCGTATAACAAGTGTGACATCATAATGCTAAAGCGTGTCAGCAGTGGCAGAGTCAGCATATTTCAGCCAACCCTTCTGTCAGGATGCACTCACACCAACATGATGTCATCGCTGACACTGAGGCCGAGCGGACAGACGCCATGTGGCCCATTCAGACAGGATTACCAATATGTTACAAATAGTGTTTACTATCATATTTATTACACCTCTAACAATTTTGGAATGGATTAGATTCAACTTTTTTGTCATAACAAACTCAAAACAATGCAACAAAATGCAGTTTAGCACCAATCCAATAGTGAAGTACCGCAAGTATAGGATAATATGTACAAAACTTAGAAATATTTATGCTTATATGCAAGACATGTACCAAGCTGCTATTGCTAAGTATCCAAGTTTAGTCAGATTTCATTAGCTGAAAACTGTCAAATATATACTGTGTCACATCAGAACTCTAGTGTTTCCATTTTAAACTTAAACCTGATGTCTAATTATCACATGCAGTTTAGTCATGTAAAGCTTGGGTACGTAACTTTCCAAAGGCTATGTATTAAAGTGCATGTTACTATAGTTACTACAATTACATTCCATCTCTAGTCTTTCCTTTTTTGCCTCTGTCACATCAGATTTTTAAGACAAAAAGTGAAAAAGAGAGGACCACTCTCACTCAGCCAATCAGCTCTCAGCCCAAAGAGTCAAATAGTGACTCACAGGGCTCTTTCTAACAAGTATGCAAAAGATGAAAGTTATGATGAAGCATGTTGTGGTCTGCGTTGTTCACAGCTTTTCTCTTTTACGAGTCTCTTTCTGTTACTGTGTTATCTACAAAACTAAAAAGTTAAACTTACCATCTTATACTTCTGTCATCATCAAGGACGACTTCAGGCCAAGTTACAAATCAGATCTGAGATGTATGAGAAAAAGTGTGTGTTGCAGGTGTAGGTGATATAGCATTATCATAAAAACCCAGCAAAGTTACATACAGCAGCTTTAAAGAAGAAACCACATAGAGACACAGTAAGCAAGGACGTAAGATAAGATAGACTTTATTGATCTCACACTGGAGAAATGTACATGTTAATGTACTTTTGTGTGGACATCAACATTATTTAAAACTCACTGTATCATTTTTGACAAAGAGGAGATGCTATTTTAATCAGTCATATTTGTTCGGCATTTTTATTGCTTTCAAACTATTTTAAGTGTGTAAATGACAGAAAACTATCTTTTTTGCGTTTTCCTCACAATTTGCGAAAGGGCTACTTTGTTATGGGTCCCCGCAGCTACATGAGATTATTATTTATGTAATTATTCTTTAATGCATTTTTGCATTATTGACAATGGTGGTAGTGTGTGCAAAGTTATAAGTCAGAATAGTCTATTTTAGTTAAAAATCATAATAATTACCTGTTAGCAAACCCACAGCCACGAGATTATTCATGTATTTACGTAATAATATTGACAGTAGCATTGATAATAATTATTTTATTTTTATAACGATAATGACAATAATAATAATAAAAAATAATAATGATGATGATAATAATAACAGCAATTATTATTAATATGATTATTATAATCATAATAATAATATAGGCAAGCAAAAAATTACTTTTTATGAAACCATGTATTTTTTAAATGTATTTTTTTTATATATAAATAAAGCATAATGTACCTCTTTAGTCCAGTCTTAGGCGCTTTCCTTGCTCCACTGTTTATCACCGTTCAATTCTCCCGTTCGCCTACTGAAATCCGTGCGTAAAACCGAGCCAGTCCTCCCAGGCGCAGCTCCAGACACATGCCCCAACTGTCCTGTTCCTTCTACCCGGTCACCAGCAGCCTGTCCAGGCCATAAACCTCCACACCAGTCCGCTTCACTCCGCGCAGATGCACCGGGCTGTCACCACACACACCCCCCCAAAACAGACCGCCTCAGCGCGCATGGATGGATACAGAGACGCACTACGGATCCACTGGCTGTCCAAAGTCTCTACTCTTCGGGCAGAAGTATCTCCAGAAAGTTTCGTGAAAGTTGTGCGTAAAAAGTTGCCTGTCTGCGGCTGGTCTGGTGGAGCGGGACCACGTTGGACTGGGGAGAGATTACAATGCGTTCTATTTACAGCAGCATTACATCACCCCTCCAGATGACGTGACATGGGATTCCTGAACTTCTAAATCATCACAGCGGAGAAAGGGGGCAGGACAGGGGGCCGGGCCGAGGCGGGGTCCCGGGCCAGTGCAAGAGTAAGCGGGAGTGGAAGAGGCAGGCTCAGTGAGGCGCATGCAGACCCATGCGGACCCGGGTGGTGCTGGGCAGACAGGAATGGTTTTAACATTTCAATTCAATTACATCACAGCACTAAATCACAACAGTAGTTATCTCGGAGGACTTTACAAAGCTGTCGATTCGACAACACAGATTAGTAAAAGTGTTTAAATGCTTCCCCTACTTCACTGCAACTTGCTGAGCAGTCAATTTGACGGCTTTTTGTTTTGGAAGACTAATTATCAGTGTATGCAAATGATTGGACTTTTTCCTGTGTATACAAACATGGCCCATAACATTCTATGGGGCTTAAATTCCCATCTTTCAAGGTCCTGGTTCTGGACTGGTTCTGGTTCTGAGCTGAGTCAGTATTTTTCCACCAGGAAAGAGCAAGTGCTAGTTACCATAGCAACACACTGTTTACGGAACAGCAGTTAGCATTTGCCTCCCTAAGTTATATGCACGACTTTCAGCAAAAAAAAAAAAAAAAATGGCTTTATTTTAATAAGATTAGTGAAACTCTCAAACTGTTTTTTGGGAATTGCATTGATTTGAAGGAGATCAAATCTGAGGAGCTTTAGTAGTCTCAGAACTTTGGGAGTCCTAGTGTTCAATAAAAATAGAAATTCAAAATGAAAATGCATCATTGATGAATTGTACATATATTATATCCTGAATTTAACATGTTTGCACATTTCTTTCTTTTGCACAATCTTGAGTGATTCTATCCATGCCCGATGTGACGTGTACATTTCTCCTGTGTAAGATCAATAAAGTCTATCTTATCTTATCTTAATAATTCCATCACTTCACATGAATACATTTTACAATATTCACAATATTCTACTTTTACAAGACATGTGTTTTTCAGGATTTTAAAAGTTAGCAATTCCTAGAACATATATGTACAGTTAAACACTGAAGAAATGATGTTGAGTTGTGAACCAGCCCCATCTTGTGGCAGAGAGAGAAATTACTCTTCTGTTTTCTTCAACATCCAACATGACGAGACCTAATTGCACTTTCTCCATTTGCTGCTAAATTTTAAATATATTTTATATGGCACCTTGTGACGGTTACTTGCACTTTTATGGAACTGTATTTTAATATGTAAGTTTAATAATAATATTATGAAGGACCTCCGGTGGAAAGTAGCATGGTGCTAAATCTGGTGCAGCCATCTTTTTAATGTAACTGCACATTGTCTTTGATGAACTAAACTTTAGATTCTAAAAGCCCTGGTCCTCGTTCTGTAGCTTAGGTCCCAAGGCTGTAACGATTAATTTATTGATTGCAACTAATAGAATTTTCTTAATTTATTCTATTTTAATAAACTAGTATTGTTAGCTAAGCCTCAAGTTATGAGTATGCATTTCTTTCTTAAACAGAACAGGAGATGAGATTTTATCTGAGTCAAAGTTAGATTCAGGATATTATCTGTGATCTGAACACTAATCGAGGAAACACGAGGTTAACTGCTAGATTCATTGATTTTCAGAATATTTGTAAATTGCAGCTCTAATTAGCTCATAGGGCTCTTTTTTTCAATACACACAAAAACGAAATGTTTTCCAAGAAGTTGAAAACAGCAGTAGTCTGATTTGTTCAGCTATAAGGCTTTTTTAAGGCAATAAATAAAAGTCCCCTCTACCAGAAATGTTGGATTGATAATTTTTATCAAACATGTACTGAGATCCACATTTTAACTTTTCCCTGTGTTGTCTGTATTGTGTTATTTTGTATTTTATTGTATTGTATGCTGTCATCTCTTGTCATACATTTTCCTGCCTAGAGGGACTACGGATGAAAACTATCTTGGTAGCTATAATCCGGCATGTTTACATTTTATACTGATGTTCATTAATGTGCATTGTCCCTGTCAAATAAATCATTAAATAAATAAAAAAATAAAAAAACATTTGAGTAGATTTAACTGTTTTGAAACTTCTTATGAAAATACTGAATTTCAAATCTAAAATCTAAAATTGAAGTTAATTGATTGAAGATTAAGATTAAGTGATCCTTTATTCATCCCACAATGAGGAAATGTCAGTGTTGCATCGCAGTTACAGAGCACACAGCACAAGATAAGTGAACAATAACTCTCTAAATCTCTAACTTTAGCAAAATAAAGAAGCTAGTATAAAATCTCTAACTTTAGCATAACGAAGCAGCAAGAATAACATAGAACCACTCTGACTTTATCATAATAAAAAAGCAAGCATAAAATCTCTAACTGTGTGTCGTGTTTTAAAAAAAAAGGGGGTGCGAAATGACAAGAAAAGTATTTTAGGAGAACTTGAATGAACTTGATGAAGCGTTGCATTCCACGGACATGTTCTTTGAGCTCGTATGAAAGCATAGACATAAACTCCTTCAAATCATCCCAAACATCTTTTCATCTGGGTCCGTCTTATGTCATGCTCTTTTACTGCTGCATTATCCTGTTAAGTGTCCCGTAGCCGTCTGGGGCGCTATGTCATCCGTTTGTCTCTAAATCTGGTGCAAAAAACGCTCTTAAAAACAAAACGTGGGCCACACTGCTGCTGCTGCTGTCTGATGCTGTCTGCTGCTGTCTGATGGAGCTGAGGTCATGGCTCTCACAGAACATGCAGTCACTCAGGGGCCATGTTTGGGCACATTTCCGGGGGCCTCCTCCTGCTGCTGCTGCTGCTGCTGCTGCTGCTCCATTGGGTCGTGTGTATGTGTGTTGTTGTTTGGCTGCGGCTGGTCCTTCCCTCGCTGACTCATCGGCGTCCAATCCCTTCCCTGTAGCCATGGTGACGCGTGTAAACAGGAAGTAGGAGGTGATGTCAGTGTGTTGTGAATGAGTCGGTGCAGTGAGCAGATAAGGCGAGCTCAGCGTTTATGCAGAGGGAACACATATCACAGACACTCAGTTAGCGCCATACACACCGTTACTATGACGACCTCCACTTTCACGCACGGACACACACTTTATTCAGTTCTTTAAAAACGTATGAATTGTTGGTGGATTTCTGTTGTAAATATTCAGAATTATTGATAATTATTTCATCCCTGGAACGTGACACTTATAATAACATAGATAAGAGTAGATAATGATACTTTGGCCACAAGAATCATTTCGTAAATAGAAAATATCACTATGACAAATGATCGTATGTCAGACAGGGGTCTCCAACTTTGTCAGAATGAAAATGGGAGAGAGTTACTCTTTAAAGAGGAGGGAAGAAAACATAACAACGACATGATGAAAGTATAGTCACGTTTACTTCATGTGAATTGATACATGTGAAATATTCATCAGATTATTTGCATTTTCTAAATCTTTTATGGAGCTGATGTAAGAAATGAGTCAATATTCACATCTAGTGAAATTTCCTTTTGATTCAAACTGAAACCTAACATTTTAAAAGTGATGCATTTGTTATTACTCACACTTTGAAACTGTAAGGCTCAAGGATCAACACAAGGACAGCTGTCAATCAACTGGAGCCTGGAGCATGCTGCTGCAGAGTCCGTCATAAATAGACCTTATGCAGAAATCTTCCACGGCCAATGATCTGATGTACACTCTGAATGCTGCGAGTGTTCATCAGATCATTGGTTTTAAAAATGTTCTAAATCCTTGTCTCGGCCCGCACCAAACCCGGAGTCAGTTATTGTAAACAAAATTGCTAAGGGCTTTTAGTTTCTTGTTTCAGTACTGTCCAGTTTAGATACTTTATGATCCTTTAGATACATACTTTATGACTTTATGATCCTGTAGGAGAAATTCAGTAGTTCAGTAGCAGCAATAACACATCCATCCACACAAACAAAACAAATAAATTGATCATTCTAAAAAGCTGACAGTAGTAATAATAAAATGCATCAGCACTACAGTTCAGAGCAGCAGAGATGGTGTAGCCGCTTGGTTCGGAACATTTTCTCTGCTCTTGTCCAAAGTAAAATCTCCATTCACACGATACAAGTTTGAAAACAGCAGTTTAACAGAAGGGTGAGGGGGTGTGTTTGGGGATGGAGATAAGGGTCAGTTTTTGATGAGGGAACTTTGCAACATGATTAAAAGCCCAATAAAGTCGATTTTACACAATAGGTTCATTAGATTTTGGCTGTATCACCCAGGCACAAATGACTCAACCTTATCTCATCAAGAATTCTCAAAGTGTCTTAAATTGACCTGAAAGTCGTCACCGTGGCGTCTTGTCCTCTCTTTCCGGTCCCCACAGTGCGATGGCTCCCGGTCGGCCTCGGCACACATGCTTACAGTTGTACAGTTGTGATTGACGTCACAGAGGTGTCACCTGCGTCACTGTGCGTCCTTGTACATGTGTGTGGAGAGTGCAGCCGCCATGTTGTGTGTAAGTGAAGACATGTGTGATGTGAGGTCACTGCACATGTGTGCCGCTGACGCCCTCTTGGAAACACACAGACTCAAAGATGTTTATTTGGAGAGGATTGCTGTACGGTCATGTAATAATGATTATAGTATTACATTGTATTTTTATAGCGCCTTTTGGACACTCACAGCGCTTTACAAAAGAACAAAGAAAAATAAAATTAAAAATCTATAAAAAACAGTTAAATGTATTCAGTTTGGAAAAGGTGGGTTTTGAGCAGAGATTTGAAGTGTTGAAGTGAGTCCGATTGCTTGATATGTTGTGGGAGTTCCTGAGAGTGAGGGCAGCTGCAGGGCTCAGTCCTCAGGGTTCAGAGGGTTCAGTCCTCAGGGTTCAGAGGGTTCAGTCCTCAGGGTTCAGAGGGTTCAGTCCTCAGGGTTCAGAGGGTTCAGTCCTCAGGGTTCAGAAGATCCAGTCCTCAGGGTTCAGAAGTTCAGTTTTTTCTGATGGCAGGAGTCTGCAGAACTGTGACAGTGCTTATGGAGGAGGTCGGTGAGATATGAGGGGGCAGGTTATGAAGGAACTCAACTAGGCGGTATGGGGCTGGGAGCCAGTGTTGTTTGAGGATGGGGGTGATGCGGTCTCTGGTGTGAGTGTGGGTGAGTAGGCAGATGGTTCTGTATATTTTGCAGTTTTTGTAGATGAGTGGAAGGGAGACAACAGTGGAAAAGGGCACTTTCCTGAATGTGCTGAAGATAATATCTCATTATTTTTGGACATACATTATTTACGACTCCATTGGATTTAACTGCGTTCTCCACATGCTAGTGTTTAATTTGGCTAATTCATAGAATAATGGTGACAACAAAACACTGCAGTTATGATAAGGACTATATGAAAGAAGTAACATTCAAACCATACCACGACATCGACAAGTGCAAGAGGTGTGCTCGTGCTTGTGATCGGCAGAGCTTTTCACATGACAATGTAAAAAAGGACACATATATTTTTTCCAAACACTTTGTTGGTGAATCTGGACCAAGTATGGAGCAGTTAAAGACTTAAAGAGTACCTATATTACGTATTCTGTATGTATACAGTGTACAGTATACTGTGTGTGAGGTTAATGAGTGCAGCCCCTGTGACACACACCTGTGCAGACTGTTTGTTGAAGTTAGTGGCACACATAGGTTTACGACGGCTGTTAGCACGCTTCATTAGCCGCTCCGCCGCAAACCGGACTGTCCTGGACACAACCGGAGATTTAGGGAGAGCCTTGGTGCATATGTGCTCTTTGCTTTCCCCTTCACTGCACCTGCCCCAGCGCTGCAGCACATCAGGGAGTTTTATGGAGGGAATACACTCTGCTCCAGTTTGGGAAATACAGAGATTGTTGCAAAAAACACAAAGATGATAATCAGGAATCAGCAGTTTACAATACGGGATAAATGAAGCAACATAATCTAGGTCATGTCAATTCATTTTTGTATAGCGCTAAATCACAACAATTGGATTACTATTGCAACAACACATCATCAGTAGGGTAAAACTAACCTGTCTCACGACGGTCTAAACCCAGCTCACGTTCCCTATTAGTGGAGGAATCTCAGAGGACTTTATAAAGTTGTCTATTTGCCTAACACAAGTCAGAGAATCAAACAGAAAATAAAATCCATAAAGCCATTGGTCCATAAGGGGCAGATGAACACTGTTCATAAATGTTATTAAAGGTCCATAAATGTCCTGGATCGTCATCACTGTTCATAGACCCTCCTACAACTCAATTAAAAACAGTGGGAAAAAAGTGAGAAACCTCGGGGAGCCCACATTGAGAGAGGGATCCGCTCCCACAGATCACTATGACACAATTAGTTGGTGGATGCTGGGCTCTGGCTCCAGGACATTCAGAGACTTATTACATTAGTTATCTCTAGGAAGCTGTGTGCTTTGAGTCGTTGTCCTGTTGTCCTGTTGCCCCAGTCCTGCACTCTGGAGCAGGTTTTCATCCAGGATATCTCTGTTCCCTAAATCATGATTCCTTGTCCATGCCCCACATCTCCACAATATGATGCTGCCACCCCCATGCTTCACTCCAGAGTGATGAGCAGTGCCCTCCAAATGATGAGCAGTGCCCTCCAAATGTGATGCTGTGCATTCAGGACAAATGGTTCTACATTTGTTCTATAGACCATCTTGTTTGTTCTGTCCTGAGGGTCACTTACATGTCCTTTAGAGAAACTCAGGCTGTGGTGTGTCTTTTAATGACGAAAGGCTTCGTCTGGCCTGTCTCCCACATGGGCCTGATTGGTGAAGTGCTGCACTGATGGTTGTTGTCAGAGTAATGAGCACTAGGTTCTTGATCTCCTCTGATCAAACGGTTTTAGACCTAAGGTGCCATATTTTGCTTTTCTTCATTTTTCACAGTCCATCCCATGCTCATGTGTTATAATAATTTGGGTGATACACGGTACAACACTCAAAACTATTGTCAAATTATAGCCATTTCGTGCATAGAGGTGATGTAACCTCATGCGAAACGCTTGGATCTGTGCGCCTCTGCCTCCCCCCCGCACGGTGACGTAGCATCACGCTAAGTTCGAGGCAAACAAGAGCTAACTGTACAGCTTTCGCTGTTATTACAGTCCTTTCACACCTGAGAATAAACTTTTTCCAACAATGGAAACCTGTCATATAGAGCCCTATGTCCTGAACTGTAGTTCTGGAACAGTCTTTGGTGGTGTCACTGTAACTCGCAGAAAAACATCTGCTAGCTTGCGGATTTCAGACCAAATACTCTCGTTACATATTTACACCAACAACACATTTTCTCCAAGTTGACATGAAGCTAATGTCAGGAATGAAGCAGACAGAGACGGATCGTGGTGCGCCAAACTCTGGAAGTTTATTTAAGTTTCTCTCAAGTTCCAGTGGTTTCCTTTGTTTCTTTCTCTCAGACAGAATGGAGTCAGTACACAGTTTATATAGTCATTGTCACGTCACACATCGAAAGACATACGTGTCACACAGAGACAGTGCACATCAAGGCAAGGCAAGGCAAGTTTATTTATATAGCACAATTCATACACAAGGCAATTCAAAGTGCTGAACAAAACATTACTCTGGGCATGTGTATGAAGGCCAAATAGCACTGTAATCATGTTTAAACCAGAGAAAAGTAAAACAGCGTGAAAATTAACGACCATTTTGTGAATAAACCAGCCAGGAGGCTTTGTCGTACAAAGATCCCAATTTGCATGAGTCTGATTCCTATCAAAAGCATTAAAATCATAAATTATCACAGAACATTAAAAAGAAAGATAAAAATATAAAATCCCTCAGTTGTATGCACAGTTAAACAGAACCGTCTTTAACCTGGTTTTAAACATTGTCAGAGAGGAGGCCTGTCAGAGAGGAGGCCTGAGAGGAGGCCTGTCTCACATCATAGTCAAAACATGGAGTCATCATCAGAAGAGTCCTTGTACAGTCCTGCACGTAGGCCATATTGCTATCTAATACTAACACTAACACAAAAAAGCACAGACACGTTTTTACTGTCTATGTAGGAGAGAGGCTAGGCTGACCATAGACGCCTCTGATTCACTGGTTCAGTTTCTCCCAGCTGTCAATCACCTCTTGGAGGCGGGCTTTTGACGTCATGGATTGATGGACGCCACGATTTTAAACAGCTCGTTTCTGTGCCTCTTGAGAATGAAAGAGAAAGATTGCTCTCTAACTAAAGCATGAGGGAATCAATGAAAAAATTACTCTGGGCATGTGTATGAAGGCCAAATAGCACTGTAATCATGTTTAAACCAGAGAAAAGTAAAACAGCGTAATATAGCACCTTTAATGATGGAAGCCACTGTACTTTCAGGACCTTCAATGTTTTTTTTATTCCCAGATCTGTCCCATAATTGTGTCTGCAACGTCTGCAGACCGTGCTTTAGACCTCATGGAATGGTTTCTGCTCTGACCATCGCTTTCGGCTGTGGGAGCTTTATTAGAGCAAGCAACTAAATCAAGTTGAATTACCACAGGTGTGATTCAGTAAGCTAAGAAACAACATGTATAACAAAACAACTAATATATATATAAATATACTGTATATATATAAATATATATATATACACACAGCTGTGCATGTTCTCCCACTTAAAAAGATGAGGGAGGCCTGTAATTTTCCATTTTCAGTATACCTCAACTATGAGAAACAGAATGAGAAAAAAAAATAAAAAAAAATAACATTTCTGATTTTTAAAGAATTTATTTGCAAATTATGGTGGAAAATAAGCCTGGTCTTACCACACCATAGTACAAAATACATTTCGTACTGAGGTCTGGAGGTGCTCCATTGAGCTGCTTTAACAGGTGGGAGGGGTTAACTGCTTTTGCAGGAGCTAGCATTTAGCATGTAGCCTAGCCATCTCCATCTGGCCATATGACATTCATCCAGTCCTCTTCTGGATCATCCAAATGCTCTCTAGCAAACTTCAGACGGGCCTGGACATGCACTGGCTTCAGCAGGGGGACACGTCTGACACTGCAGGATTTGTGTCCCTGCCGTTGTAGTATGTTACTGATGGTAACCTTTGTTACTTTGGTAGCAGCTCACTGCAGGTCACTCACTAGGTCCCTCTGTGTAGTCCTGGGATTTTTGCTCACCATTCTTGTGATCATTTTGACCCCACGGGATGCGATCTTGCGTGGAGCCCCAGATCGAGGGAGATTATCAGTGGTCTTGTATGTCTTCCATTTTATAATAATTGCTCCCACAGTTGTTTTCTTCACCCCAAGCTGCTTGCCTATTGCAGATACAGTCTTCCCAGCCTGGTGCAGGTCTACATTATTGTTTCTGGTGTTCTTTGACAGCTCTTTGGTCTTGGCCATAATGGAGTTTGTAGTGTGACTGTTCGAAGTTGTGGACAGGTGTCTTTCATACTGATAACGAGTTCAAACAGATACCATTAATACAGGTAACAAAAGGAGGACAGAGGAGCCTCTTAAAGAAGGACTCACAGGTCTGTGAGATCCAGAAATCTGGCTTGTTTGTAGGTGACCAAACAATTATAAATAATTTGCAAATATATATATATATATGTATATACATATATAATCAGGGGTGCACATAAGTGGTACGCAGGTACGCATGCGCGGCAAATATCAGAAATGCGTACCATCACTTGAGTTAGTAAGCGCATTTACGTACTTCACATAAACCAGTCCTTCTCAAATAGTGGGGCGTGGTGCAATAACATCTTCCGCTCTGATCCCGGGAGAAACTGTAGCTGCTTTGACAGCTCAGCGAACGCGGTGGGCATGTACCGAGCGCGGACCATAGAGGCGCGCACAGAACCATAGACACGCTACAGGACCATGTTGCACGTGCGGGTCTTGCCTGTCTCCCCCGTCTCTCCCCCATGTCTCTCCCACGTCTCCCCCAAGTCTCCACACGAAGCGCAGCCAAAACTCACTGAATAAAGCTCAGGTACCTGCATTTTACAGGTATACCATGCATTTTCAATGCAAGCGAAAATGTAGGTATACCTACATTTTCGCTTGCATTGAAAATGCATGTTATTTGTGAACCGAAGTAAAATGTTGTGAACAAATCAAACAGAACAAACCAAAAGTCTTGTTTTTTATTTTGCTTCCTTAAGAAAGAGCCCTGTGAGTTATTATTTGACTTTTTGGGCCGAGAGTGGATTTTTAAAATATTTTTTTCCACATAGTGCCACTTTTTGGCCAAACTCTCTTGACTTATTGTATTGAGAAAGATGTGTTGGTTCCACTTTATTATTGGTTTTTTTATTACCTTGTGGAAGTTGTATATTATTTTTATTATTCTACTGAAGGATTATAATTATACACTGCATTTTTATTAACAAGTGTCAGCTCTCAAATTCTTTTGAAATGATGTTTCTATCTGCTACAGAGGTCGAGATATCATTCTGTAGACGTTGAATTTCAGGAAAACCTCAGGTTTTGGAGGGTGGTTCTAAAGTCGGCCATAGGTTTTACAGGTCTGTTTTATCAGCTGTGTCAGGCCTTAATGGGTTATTTGACTTGGATTGAGTGGATTATCTGAACTGATCTAAACTCTAGCATTAAAAAGAAGCAAGTATAAAATCTCGATTAAGAACCATGCGACAAATGGTGTGAGTACCAAACACCATGTCCTGGTACTCATCTGAGTACCTCACTGAAAAAGTCATGTGCACCCATGTATATAATATATATATATATATATATATATATATATATATATATATATATATATATTTTATATAATATATATATTAACATCGGCCGATATCGATGTTGAGCCGATGCATCCCTATTTTCTTCATTGGAATGAGGCTGTAACACTACAAAAAGGGAGAGGGGTTTGCTTGAGCACAAATACACTTAAGTGTGCGCAAAGATTTGGATGTTGTATTGCACCGTTGCAGGAACTGAGCTGAAAGGCAAAGCTTCCTCCGCAGAGTGGCACGGGCGCTCCCTTAAGGTGCTTTCACACCGCCGACGCTGGAATGCTGACGCCTCACGCTCCAGACGCACATTCTCGAATTTTCAGACGTCGGGGTCTGCACACCAGAAGTCCTGGCCTGCAGTGGCGCGCGCCGGAAGTGGCGGAAGTAGCGGGCGGACTTTGCTGCTAACAAAGTTAAGCTAGCGGCTTTTTGTGTAAAGCTGTTCTCCAATAATGCAGCTCTGCAGCGTCTCTGTGTTCAGAGACCTTCCAGAGACTTTATATAACAGTAGTATGTGTTCATGGAGGTGAGCCATACGTTTATTTTATTATTAAACGGTACTTCCGCATCAGCAAACACACTCGAAGCAGTTGCATTAAGTCACGGGAGCATGAAATTGCATATGTTCACAAGCACAGAGTCCCCCATTGTCAACCCTGGTTTTAGTCCTGGTGTAGCTCCTGTTTTGGCTGTTTACAAGTATGTTCAGTCTGCTCGCTCAAACCGCAAATGGCTCTCTGATTGGTTGCTGCATGAGCGTCCCGAGGAAACGTTCAGCAATATTTATCTCCTGTGTGCGTTGATTTTCCGCTCCTGCGCCTCTGCCACGCCTTTGCCGCGTAGTCCGTGCGTCTCTATCGCGCAGTCCGTGCGTGCATCCCGAGACGCACATGCAGTTCCACACTCGAACGCGCATCACCATTGACTTTACATTAAAAGTCGACAGAACCCATGATCCGGTGTGAAAGCACCATTAGAGATAGGGTGAGGAGCTCAGACAAAAGGGAGGAGCTCGGAGTAGAGCCGTTGCTTCTCCATGTTGAGATAAGATAAAACTTTATTGATCTCACAATGTTAAATTTTACATTGGAGGGACTGTGTCTTTCAGCTGGCCTGGGACGCTCGAGATTCCCCCGGATGAGCTGGAGGAAGTGTGTGTGGATAGGGAACTCTAGGCGTCTCTGCAGAGACTGCTGCCTCGCAACCCAGCAACTGATGAAGCGGAAGAGAATAGATGGAGGGATGACATCTAAGTGTTCTTTATTATATCAACCATAATACCAATACCAATACTCCAATAATTGCAAATGTGAGAAAACAAAGCAAATGTGCATCTTCATATGTATGTAACTTGAGTTACTTTAAATGTAACTATTATATTTGTAATTAGTAATATACGTTACTGGAGGAGCTATTATGGTTATACTACAATGTCACTTCAAAATGGAACATATTACTGTAATATAAGTAACTACATAAGCTAATAGTTATCCCTAACACTGCGTGTATGTTGATTGAATTAGTGAGGTGTGCTCAGCTGCATTGTGATGTAAAAGCAAATCAAACACTGGTGCAGTCAGGAGGAGTCTGTGTCTGTCTCTGCGGGGGCCACACAGCCAGACCCGAGAGTACCCAGACGCAGCCCTGACCCAGACGCAGACCCACACCTCCATCTCTACAGGTGCCCCGTCCCATCCGCAGCTCGCACCCCGTACAGACCGGCCGTGACGTGCCCCCCACCCACCTCCTGCCTGCCCCCATCCCCCACCCCCAGCTGCGTACACCGCTGTCCTCCCTCTCCACCACCTCCACCAGCTCCAGCTCCAGCAGCCTGCCCTCTCCCCCCGCTCACCCGGCCTGCGCTCCCCTCTCCCCCGCCACTGTGGACCAGGACCACCGCAGAGCAGAGCCATGACGGGCATCGCCGCAGCCTCGTTCTTCTCCAACTCCTGCAGGTTCGGCGGCTGCGGCTTACAGTTCGAGTCTCTGTCGGAGCTCATCGTCCACATCGAGGACAACCACATCGGTGAGTGAGCTGATTCTGTGGCCGAGGCTTGTGGAGCTATATCGGGCGTGAGAGCAGCGCGAGGAGGGGGGTTAGAACCAGAGCTAACGCTGATGCTAACAGATGCTAGCCGCTCTCTGGGCTCGGAGCGCGGCTGTGCATTACGCTTTTCCCCGCTGCAGCTGTGGACTATGTGCGCAATTAACGTTCATTCCGCACGGTTTGCGCTATGTCTATAGTTTATATTTGTATAATGACCATGGAGGCAAAAGTCGTACTTTGACGTGGCTGGTAGGTTGTCTGTGCGAGGCCGTAGGTGCCATAGGTGAATTATAGTAGCTGCATCCCCCAGACAGACGCAGACAGACAGACAACGATGCATCGAATCGCTACGTTCATGCACGGTAAGGCTGTGCGATTAATCCAAGTTGTAATCTAATGCAGTGTGTAATTGCATATCGATTACACGCATGTATTCATCCGGTGCACATCTTTGCACACCTGTAGCTCCCCACCCCCTTCATAGAGCTCCCCAAATGACTGATGGATGGACTCATATTGCAATGCATAGTTAGTAAGATTAAGATGAAGAGATCCTTTATTCATCCTACAGTGGGGAAATTTAAATGTTGCATTACTAGTTACAGAACAGTAGGAATGAGAAACACACAGCACAAGATATGTGACCTATAGCTACATAGTACAATAAGATAAAATCTCTGACTTTAGCATATAAAGTAGTATAAAACACTGTATATATTCATATAGTTAGAATATATATATATGCGTGGATCTGTACATGTTAGCAGCACAAGTGGGACAAAGTAAAGTGACAGTGGTTCTTTATTGTATAAATAAGTAATCTGTATTTATATAGCGCATATAAATAAAGATAAAAGTATATAGTATTAATTTGATTCATCACATGCAAAGAAGGGTGCACACACAAAATATGAATCAAAATTAATTACTCTGTATCCATGTGACATAAAGTGACTTTGTCACTTTATGGGTATGTCATGAGCTTGTCATCTCAGTCTCAAATCTTAGTATTTGCAACTACACTTGTTAAGTGTTTCGACTTACACTCACAAATACTATGAAAATCAAAATTCAGGTATTATTCTCTTTAATGATCTTTATCACCAGTTTGCAAATTAGATGAAGCCCAGCCCCACCAGGCCTCTGCGAGTGGCTGCTGGACGTTGTCACATCGAGAAACAAAAGGCTCTTTGATCATCGGCTGTCAGGAATGTAGCCTGTTACCTTCTGCTTTAGGTCGAATAATGCAGCATCCGAAAGCCTGCTGCAAGACAAGCAGCAAGAATGAGAAGAAACGGGGCAAATTAACTGAAGATTTATGATTAGGCCCTGTTTAGATAGATGGATTGATGGATACTTTATTGATACCCCATATAGGAGAAATTCAGGTGTCCAGACAGAGACGCTGCAAAGCAATTGGAAAAAAACGCCAGACTCTTTTTTTGAAGAGGAAAACGATTTAGTTCTAGCGTCCGGCCAGTATTGGGCAGTGGAACTTTACAACACAATACGGCACGCAGACCCAAGACTTGTTTCCCCCAGATGACCTGGAGGAAACGTGTGTAGATATAGAAGTCTTGCTGTCTCTTCTATGACTTTAGTTTTCAGGGTTTTTGCCACGCCCAGACACAAATTAGTTGCGGCATTAATTAGTCAACCAATCATTTCTCGTCAACCAGAAATATCAATTGAAATGAAATTGCACTCGTTGACATGACTCTACAAACTCTAGAACATACAACACACTTTTTATGTCAGTCGCCTTACAATGAGAAGACATCAAAGAAGTATAAAGATTTTATTTTCATTATACATAGTCTTCTTGTGTTATTTTCAACACTAAATTATGTAAAAAAGTGAATAAAACAGAATCATTTTTGACCAATTGTCAGAGGCGACTAAGTGAAAAATATTAAGAAAAATACCACTTATCTTTCAATGCTTGCTGAAGAACCACAGCTGTACAGAAATCTGTCATATTTCCTTGTAATGCCTGAAGAAAATGACAAAGTCTGGGATCGTGTCACAGTCGGAAGACACGTTTTATTGTTGATGGTAAAGAAGACACGAACGGAGTTTTGTAAAATGCATGTGATTTCTAGGTCCTCCTCCTTGTGACAGCGCCAAGAGATATGTTAGCTTTGGCCTTCAGATAAGGCATGAAGTGGAAAATCACCGAGTCCTGCAGACTGTTAGATTGACTAGCTTAGGTTTGACAAAAATTGCTTCAAAACTGGTATAAGAGATCCAAACGATTTATATGAGCTTTGTTTTTGTATAAAGTTATTTTTGTGGTGTTGTGGCACCACCTGCATGTGAAAGCTAAGGGCAGAAGCTGGTTAGCACTGTGATGGGAGACCTCAGGGAACCCCAGGTGCCACAATGGGGCGGCTGTAAAGTGCCAAACTGTTGTTGTGTCCTTTAGCAAGACACTTCATCCACATTACCTAGTCTGAGTGTGGTGTGTTTCCTGCTGTATTGCAATTCTATCTAACAATGATTTTTCAATTCAATTTATTGTTGTATCGCCCTAAATCACAACAGCAGTAATCTCAGAGGACTATATGAAGTTGTCAATTCCCCAACACAGATCAGAGAATCAAACAGTTTAAACACAGGAATTGGAACAATAACAAACACATATAGTGCCATTGGTCATAAGGGGCAGATGACCGGTAAATAAATGTTACATATTAAATGTTGTTTTTGAATCTTGAAGGATCATGTCTTCTGTCATTGGCGTTGCATAGAGACACCAACAGACTATTAATGACTGACCGTGTCCTCATCATGATTACTCGTGTGTATCTGTCCTCAAGAGGGGGAGGGGGGTCACTGAGCCTGTTGTCATGGAAACTGGCAGGGGAGAGGGCCAGGGGACGAACACTGCACACCTGCTGTCCACACAACAAAGAGCACGATGATTACACACAGGCTTTGGTTTTACATGCACACATACAGAATAATGCATTTTTAATCAACCAGAAAGCAAGTCTTGTAACATGTTGCTTTGACATTTAACTAAAGTCTCATGAGGTTTGTGTCCGTTTTAAAAACACACCTGGAGTTTGTTTTAGTTCCATCTACAATCTGAATGTGTGGTTGTGTGTAATTGAACTCTTTATTGTTCAAGTAACTGCAAAAGCAGTGGATGAACGTGCTAGCATTCCAGATAAAATGGATTCAACATAAATGTGCAATACTGCAACGATAAATCACGTTAAACTTTGCAACATTGTAAACATTTATTGAAAATAAAATGCACTAATATTGAATGTGTTTTAAATTAAAAAAACACAACGAACCAACACGCTGCATGAAAATGTAAATAAATTATAGCACCTACAGCTGTAACTGAGGATTTCAAATATGTGTGCGACGGCAGGATGTTCCTGGGTTCCAAATGGTCGAGCAGGTTGCCACAGTTTTCAACCATAGAAAGCGACTGCGAGCCCAAAACAATGAACTCAAACACTTTTGGCTTGTTGCTGACAGCTTTTTGTGACGCTGCAAAGCATCCCCCAGTAACATCTGTGTCTCATTGTTTTCATGTCATCTCCTTTCGCTGCAAAAACTTCTCATATCTCATCGCTCTTTCACGTGGGTTTTAGTCGTGTTGTATTTTGCCAGTTTACCGCCGCCTCTCGAAACACCACATTTGCATATATTGCATGAAATCTGACTCATTGGTGAAAGTAGTGTAAAAAGTCCACACAGCGGATTCTTTCGTGAGCTCCATGCTTGGCAGTGTTCTTGCAAAGCGTCACTAGGAAGTCATGTGTTCGTGTGAGATCTGATAAATAACTTACTTTTTTATTTACTAACAAAAAAATAAAAGCACGGCACAGCTCCCTCCGCAGATATCTGATCCAGTATTTTTTTCTGGTATCAGCGCTGATATCGATACCAGTATCGGATCGGTACATCCCTTCTAAAAACGTGTACAACACGTTGAATGAGTATGTTTGTGAGTGTGACTGTGGGACTACAGTCTATCTAATGCAGGGGTGCCCAAAGTGGGGCCCGCGGGCCAAAGTTGGCCCGCCAGACCATTTCAGTTGGCCCGCCAAACATTGCCCACCTCCGCTATAAGTTTCTATCTGCGTCCCTCAGCCTCGCTGAATAAAGCGACATATTTCAGGTCGCGCGGGCGCATAGTCGCCCTCTGAATTCCGACTGTCCAGTACTTAACTGTTGTATCGAGATACACTCCTCACTCATGGTTCACATCAACTTGCACTAAAATGTTTTTTAAAATCAAACACATCTTTCAAAACAATTGGGTGCAAGGCCCCTTTGTTATTTTTTTTTTCAGCCTACTATTATTTTTTGGAGCTATTTAATGTTTTATCAAATTGAGAGGATTGTGCTGGCGAACTGCCACTCCCCCTCCTCACCGGAGGGAAATGGCGAGTGGAACTATTCACCTGCGCAATCCGCACCCACCCGGTGTGTTAAAAAGGACGGACACAAACACTTCAGAGTGAGTTCAAGCAGGACAAGTAGGGATCGCAGTGCACGATCCACGTAAGTAGAAGCAACAAATACTGTGCAAGACAAACCCTTCTACAACCCCATGAAAGAAGCCGGTAAGCACCGTCCTCACTCGCGATCAGTGAATGTCAGAACTTACGCGGAGTTTTATGATGCGTTCAAGAGCCCTTTGGAGGAGCGGAAACTCGGACTCTTTAACAGTTACTTTGTTTTGATTGTTTATAAATGTTGTACTGTGTTTAGCCATAACAAAACAAAACTCCAGGAACAAATCATGGTTAACTAGTCTGATTTCGTTAGTTTAATATTCAGTTCACTACTAATTGAGAATACTTGTCCTATGTTAAAACAGAGTTAAAACCTGATCATGTTTAGAAAATGCAGTTAGCAATTATGTTCCCAAATTCATTACTTAATGGTAAAATGTATTGTTTAAAAGTGTGCTAAAACCAGATCTATTGATCAGTGATGTCTCCCCTTTTTGA